AATCTAGCCAATTTTTGGCGAGATAGGCTTGCCGACGTTAATGTCAAACAGACAGCTTCACCTTCGTGAAGACGCCAAACGACCGTGTTGAGCCGTGTACTCACTAGGTGAAAGACGTTTACCCATCTCTGAAATCGAAAGTGTCCTTGGGTGACGTCTATCTCAGGAAGACGACGCCATTGGTGATTCCGAACGCGTGCTCTTACGAAGTGCTCTTTTCACAACCTACATCACCCTCTTTGTGTCGTGACACAAGAGGAAACATATGTACGTACATACGCTTGGACTTGTCGTCTCTATTGCAACATGCACGAATCTTTGGCCCCTCCATTGCGTAAAGCGGAAAGTAGAAATTAGACCCAACTCGCGTGAAATAGAGAGTATACACAATAATAATCCATCCTTAATATTCGTGGTAACCAGCCCTTCTACCCATTTAATCATCCGTATCCAATGTCCACTGGGTCTTTCCGAGTAAACCCCTTTACAAAATGGGGGGGGGGGGGGATAGGCAGGAGCAACATGGAACATAGGACATGTCCCCATGTCTCTCTCCTAGTGTTCCCTGTGTTTTATGGCTCTTTAGTGATACAAGTCCCTATTTTAAACCTATTTTGACGCCGAAAGCTATTGTCGATACTCACCAGCTTGTCGGACCAAACTTTGTTCCAGGCGCGGGCGTCGCCTGGATAGCCGTGCCCTGCGCGTCCATCGTTGCAGTCACGATATCGTTACCCCACCATTTAGGCGGCTCAATCTTGTTAAGCGTGAAAGCCAAGAAGATGACGAGCGTGGCGAGCGCCAGGCCGAGGTCGAGACCCGACGAGGTGAGGTAGTTGAGGCGCGACCACCAGCCAAAATGCTTCTTGCGAATGTGGTGCTGGAAGACGTAGCCGACGATGCCCCAGGAGAGGTAGTTGAGGGGCGTCGCGGGAGGGATGGCGCCGGCACCGCCAAAGATGAGGGGCGCCATGAGGTACTTGACGGGAGACTTGGGCCACTTGAGAGCGGCGAAGTAGAAGATTACGGGGAGGATGGCGCCGAGGCCGAAGAAGATGAAGAGGCCGGAGTAGACTTGGCCCGGGGAGAACATGCGGGCGGGACCGATGAGACCCCAAATTACGGATGCTGTGGACGGGGGCTGTTAGTTTTGTGATACGGGAGGGAGTGGGTTGAGGGGTAGGGACGACGTACCGGCAAAGAAGACGCGGCCGCCCGGGCAAGAGAACTTGTTCTCCTGGTGCGGCGTGCAGACATCGGGGATGTTCTTCAACGCGGCGTTGAGCACGGCGATCTGGATGAAGCAGGAGAAGGTGGTTGCGACGACTTGGCACATGAACATGGTTCTTGGCGGGATCTTCATGTAGTGGCCAAACTTCAAGTCAGAGACGAAGCTGAGGGACTGGGACATGGTGATGTAGCCAAAAGTCTTGAAGCTGTGTAACTTGTCAGCACAAAACGAGTCGATGATTCGATTAGAACACAGTGTAACTCACATCATGAGTGCGAGAGGTCGCCCAGGTTGGATGTAGCCGTAGATGAACTCCGTCAACACATTCAGACCAATCTGGTTGTTCGTGACAGCCTGAATAATGCCAATGGGCAGCGAGAAGCCGAACGAAATGGCCACCGCCAAAAGGAAGGCCCACCAGGTCAGGTTGGTCGGGTAGTACAGAACAGTCACGAAACCTAGACCAAGCATCTGCACGCGTGTTAGTGCATCATGACGGACCACAAAATCCAGCAAAGTTACTTACGATCACGAAGAGGCCCATGTACCACCAAGTCGGCGCCTCCTTGTACTTCCTCATGAGCTTCATGTGGATATCGGGCTGCTCCTTGTTGCTGTTCCTGTACTGGGCCCAAATCTGCTTTCCGTTGTGCAGATAGGTGTAGACGATCAAAGAAGCGATGGCAGCGAATGACAGACCGTACGACATGGCGAACGTGGTGCTGATGAACAGCGGTGAATAGTTCTTGTACGCCTCCTCGTTCAGTGTAAGCTGAGGGGTAAGGATGCGAGACGTGTTGTACGGGTTACCCGTGTTGTCGTACGTGCCCGAGTCGCTCATGGGCAGGAACTGAGCGTACCACACACCGCTGTAGTGGAAGACGGAGCAGCCGATGATGAAGAAGGTAACAACACCGATGAGGGTGTTGGCAATGGCGTGCCATGGGGGAATGAGCGGGGAGCCAACGAATCCGGAAATCTGAGTCCAGTCGAGAGTCAACGGCAGAAGTGACAGACCACTCGTTCCACCAAATAGCTGGTTGATGATAACATTGTTCGGGGCAATCCAGGTGGCGAATGCCATGATACTAAGGAATTGCGCGAGGAAGCCGGGGATCCAATAGTAGCAGAATGAGCCAAGAACAATGATACCGAACCACTTGTATCGAGGCATGCTGCCACCAATGAAAGTGGGATCGGGTCTGTCATTCGTCTCGTACATGGCATTCATCAAAGTGACGGAGACCAAGTTTCCGGGCCAGATCATAGCAGCCGGATAGACTGATAGTAAGGTTAGCGAGCCTAAATCTTGAAGTTTCTTTACGAGTACGCACCGAGGAACTTTCGCATGATGCCGGCAATTCCGTAACCCAAGGACTGAGTGGAAATGGTGAGAAGCAGTTGAAAGACGATGCCAAAGTCTTGCTTGTAAAACACCAGCTGGGCCAGGATAATGTCGGTAGCGTATGCAACGGAAAAGGAGACACCAGCCATCACGACAATGATGGAGTGCTCCTTGATGTTGAACGGTCCCGGGTTCAAGCTCCACTTGATGCCAAAGGTCTTGAACTGCTTCGTAGGCATCACCTTGGCCCAACCCTGACCGATAGGCCATGCAATAATCTGCGCAATTAGAGGACCAAGACCGATGGAAGGCTGTCGTAGTGAGAACAAGGTGTTCATTGAGGCACCAACAGTGACCAACATGAGACCGATAGTCCAGGCTCGGATGGTGTTGCAGGGCATATCTTCGTCGTAGTTGCGAACGGCTGCGCGTACTTCGGGATACGGTGAGTCCTCCTCCTCCTCCCTCTTCATAGCCAACTCATCGTCGACCTCTTCGATTGGCGTCGATGCCGCGTTACGAATTCTCGTCTCGTACTCTTCGGGCAGATTCGGATCTAAGAGAAGTTCATGTTCGGACCCTTGCTCATCTTCATCATCATAGCCGTGATAGACACTTGACTCACCCCATTGCGAGAGCCTCTCTTTCAAGTCCTCGACCGGGTCACGGTCTGAGAATCTTGAGGTGGTAGAGTCGGCGGGATTGATCTCGCGCCCACTGACCTCCACATCCGCTTTGGTATCGAGCCCGCGATCGTTGTCCGCCATCATGGGTCCTGAAGCCGTACCAGACGACTTGCCATTAGATGGTTGGGGCATGTTGAAAGTATTCCCAGGAGTGTGGGAGCACAATCATCGACGACAGGGTCAAAACGTCCAAAAGCAGGAGGAGGCAGTGGGTTTCTATATAGGGGGGAGAGTCTAAAGTGTCTAGGCGGATGGCGTTAGGAGAGAGAGAGTGTGTGTGAGAGAGGCGGGAGACGGGAACCCGCAGAGGTACGAGCTACGAGCGCCGATCCCAGACCAACATGAAGCAAAGGCTAAAAATGAGCCTCTGGTTGTACTCGATAAGCCTCTGGTATGTACAGAGTCTCTTTCGAGGCCTACAGTGAGTGTGGCGTGATTGGACCTGGGACTCGAATGAATCAACCTCGCAGGTGCTTAGTAGTGCCTGGTACGCAGGAGGGCCGACCCCGTGCTCTCAGGAAACAGGGTGATGCTCGGCAGGAAAGGACGGGCGATCCGCAGACTGGGATCAGACTAAAGGATGGCGAGGGTGAGTGAGGGCGATGACTGGAGCGAATAATGGTGGAGGGGTGTGATGCTGTGGGATGATCGGACGGCCAGAGAAGTCGAGGGAAAGACGAGGGCAAAGGCATGAATGGGGGCTAATCTCAAGGAAAGCGAGTTTCCCGACTGGTGACACTGCTCGGACAAGAAGATTGGGATCGAAGTGGTTGCAGAGTTCTCATAGGACGAGTGGTCATTGATGATAAGAAGGGAAACAAATGCGACGCTGAAACCAAGCTGCGGCACAACTCAGCACAGATGCAGTGTGGTGTGGCGACTCGAGGCCCGGATACAGAGCCGCAAGTTTGCGGGGATGGACTTGATGAAGGCGGACGTTGAGTTTTGCAGATGCCGAAATGCGATGGGAGACCCTGCAAGGCGGGATGGCCAAGCTTCCGAGTGTGCCCTCTGTTCGTGTGTGTTCCTGTGTTCCTGGCGGGCTCGTTTGTTTCTCTTGGCTGCTCAACCTGGCGATGATAACGATTTGGAATGCCGGGAAGACGTCGATGTCTGAAACGTGGCTCAATGGAACGGTTGGTGAGATGAGATGTCGTCTTCCAGGGATTGGCGATCTTTGAATGGCTGGACTAGTTCACCTCCTGGAGTGAGGTTGAGCAGGATGATCCGATGGTGCGGTAGAGGATGTCACCTCCCAGTCTCATGAGGCTGCAATAAAGAAGCAAGTTAAGAAAAGCTTCTTTTACATGGAAGCAGCGTCGGCTTGTGGGAGACTACTGTACGTCAAGAGAAAGATGGGAAAGAAAGAGTGAGTGAGAGTGAGAGCACATGCGCCAGTCGCAACGTGTGTCGTTGCGCAGCGTTGCGTTGCGTTTCCGACGCAGAGGCCAAGGTCCCCGATTCCAGCCAATCATCTGACACCTAAGAGGCTGAATCCAGAATTCCAGACCCAAAACCCCCATTGAGGCGACGTTAGTGTCCCCCGCTTCCCGCTGCACTTGTCCCCCGCCGCCATTCAGGCCCAGGGCATTTCACCCAAAAGGGGGTCAATGGAACTCAAGATAAGGTACCATACCTTACGCTACTGAGATCCCGACACTGTGGCCTCAGCACCAAAAAGCCCCCTTTTTAGCTGTACATTGTTCGCTTTGACAGCCTCTGACAGCACAGTGTTTGCATGCAGCCCCTGCAGCGACAGGTCGACAATCTGCACTTTTCGACACCTCACCTTAGCGAGTGCCGAGTACGTACTCTCCCATCAAGAACGCGCTAAACTGCATCTGTGCGGCGCAGCAGAAGCGACCCGACCGCGGTTTTTCCTACATCTCTACTAACCTATCCGTAACATTGTTCCGACTTCACCTGTCCTACAGACCGCACAACCGTCCTTCACCATCGCTGCCGGCTTAGCCATTGACACGGAGGACCCTACCGTACCAAATCACCATCATCCCTACCTGCGATAGACACATCGCCCCAGCGCAGCCTCTCCCCTTTTCATCCCCGCCCTTTCCACTTTGTCGTTTGCTACCTTATTCCCCCCATTTACATGTCGGTGCGTCTGTAGTTCAAAACGACACACAGATATTGACCCTGGCTATGGCACAAGAGTCATGCGACGAGTTGTCGTGACAGGGCTCGGCGCCATTTCGCCCTTCGGTGTTGGCGTGCGTACCACGTGGAAACGTTTGTTGGCTGGAGAATCTGCCATCACCAGTGTGGCTGACTTTGAGCCGCGAAGCCGCTGGAAAGACCTGACGAGCACAGTTGCTGGCGTAGTCCCCAGTCATGGCTCAGGTCCCGATCAGTGGCGGCCGGGTGACTGGCTGGACGCCACGGAACAACGTCGTATGTCCAAGTTTGCCCAGTACGCCGTAGCATGTGCCGACATGGCAATGAAAGATGCCGGGTGGAATCCGCAGAGCCAAGAGGACAAGGAGGCCACGGGCGTGTGTCTTGGCAGCGGTATAGGAAATCTCGAGGAGATTTACGAGACGAGCTTGGCCTTCAACCAACAAGTGAGATCTCGCTGCAGTGATCGACAAGCGAAGCCAAGCTAAAGTCTGTTCTGGTAGGGCTACAAGAAGGTTTCACCACTCTTCGTTCCCAAGATTCTCATCAACTTGGCCGCCGGCCATATCTCAATGAAGTACGGATTGCAAGGCCCCAACCATTCCGTCACAACCGCCTGTACAACGGGTGCTCATTCCATTGGAGATGCGATGCGATTCATTGCTTTTGGTGATGCCGACGTCATGGTTGCCGGCGGAACGGAATCCTGCATCCATCCCCTGACCTTTGCTGGTTTCGGGAGGGCAAGGTCCCTCTCCACAGCTTACAACCACCACCCCCACGCCAGCTGTCGTCCCTTCGACCGCGACCGAAATGGTTTCGTCGTTTCGGAGGGGTCGGCAGTCCTTGTCCTGGAGGAACTCGAGCACGCCAAGGCCCGCGGAGCCAACATCTACGCGGAGGTGAGGGGCTACGGGTGCAGCGGCGACGCGCATCACATGACGGCCCCGCGGGAAGACGGACACGGAGCATTCCGCGCCATGAAGCTTGCTCTGAAGAACGCGGAAGTTCGACCGGCCGAGGTGAGCTACATCAACGCGCATGCAACAGGGACACAGGTTGGCGATGCGGCAGAAGCTTCCGCGATACGAAGCATCATGACAGGCGAGGAGGGTTACGCGGACGAGTCGCAGGTGACTGTGAGCAGCACCAAAGGTGCCGTTGGCCATCTGCTAGGGGCGGCTGGCGCCATCGAGGCCCTGTTCGCCGTGCTATCGGTTGCAGAGGTGAGTCGCGGCTATTTGGTTTCTGAAACCAGAACCTTATCTTCCCCAGACTTTTTTGGTCTTTTTCTGCCCAACTGAATGTTTTCCTCTGACTCTTAACCAAAAGGATATCGTGCCGCCTACGCTGAACCTCGAGAATCCAAATGTCGGGGGATCCATGAATATGGTACCCCTCGAGGCACAAGCGAAACAGGTCAACGTTGCTATTTCCAACAGCTTTGGCTTTGGCGGGACGAATGCCTCGCTGGTCTTTTCCAAAGTGCGTTAAATGAGGACAGCCGTGCCGATAGAATCAGAACAACCATGCGATGACGGCTGCGCCCGCGGAATGTCTAAATTGGCTCTGGCTTAGACTCAGACTTTGGGCACACCATAAGAGAGGCTTTATGGAAAGCTTCGCATTGTAAGACTCGATGTATGATTGGTTACGAGAATTGTAGGAGATAGAATTGCCGACATACGTACGCGGCCACTACGAGCTTAATCTCTGCTTTAACATCAGATATGAGCGTTCCCAAGGCTCTAAATGACTTTAGGTGCAAAGTAACGAGCCTTGAATAAGGCTCATTGTGAGAAAGTGCGCTTTATGGGCCGTCCATGAAGTTCGACGACACCTTGGGGGGAAGAAAAGTAGCCGATTTCTGTTTCTAAACTACAGCATGCAAAACGCCAAGATCGAAGTCAAGGTAATTGAGCGTCGTTGCATTGTCAATCCAAAGAAGCTGAATGGTGTTTGCCTACAGTGTCTAGTCTTCGAGAGAAGCACGGTACGCAGGCGTGGTGGACATGGCCCGAAGTTCCGCCGGCCTGGCATGTGCTAGCTCGAAATTTCCAATTCGATGTGTTCATGAACTTTTTTTTGGATGACGTCCAGACTTTTTGTAAGCTCCGCGTTTCTGGGCCCAAGCTGCTGGTCAACGTCCAATACCCCGATTCTTCGGCTCACGAGACCTTGATTGACCGCATTCACTTTCGAATGAATCGACGACCCCCTTTACACCTATCACACACGCAACATTCCTAGATAAGACACGGAACCCGGTCCTTTCTCTGATATCCCTGATATCCCGAATCAGCAATAACCTTCAAGATGGCCTGCCAAAGCTGCCGATACCAGGCAAGACTCCTAGCCCGGAGCCTACGCGCCACCGCCGACCTGGCGTCCGCATCGCCGTCCCAGCAGACATCCATCGCCGCGACGGCGCGCCGAGCGGCGGTACTGACGACATCCAAGACCGGCGGCCCAGCCGCGACTACCACCATGGGAAGGAGGCACTTCAGCCAGACGGCGACGCGGCGGGAGGCGGCGCCGTCGTCCGGCGGACTCAAGCAGGCCATTGCGTCGGGCATGATGGCCGCCGCGCCAAAGACCATGGCCGCGACCCTGACCACCTCCCGCCTCGAGGCGCTATACAAGATCTGTTCGTCGCCGGCGCTGTACAAGATCTCGGAGCAGGAGCGCGCCAAGGATATGGTGCGCATGACGGCCGAGGGGGAGGAGGTTGGAGACCCCATTGGGCCGTGGTTGCAATGTGCGTTTTAACTATTTCCTCTCTGCCTCCCATCCCTCCATGTTTGAGTTGTAATCGCAGTGATACTGACACATCCATTAACAGTCCTCGACCTCCAACCGGGTTTCAGCTCCTGGTCACAAGCCACGATGCTGCACATGTACCTCGTCCTCGCCCGCCTGCGCTGCCTCGACCGCGACAGCTCCCGCAACCTGCAGCACCAGTTCATCGACCAGTTCTTCTTCGACTGCGAGCGCATGATGCACCTCAACCACGGCATGACCTCGTCCGCCCTCCGCCAGCGCTACCTCAAGGAAATCTTTGTCCAGTGGCGCGGCCTCATCGCCGCTTACGACGAGGGCGTCGTCAAGGACGATAAAGTCCTCGGCGCCGCCGTGTGGCGGAACCTGTTCAAGAGCCGCGAGGATGCCGACCTGCGACAGGTCGCTGCCGTGGTCGGGTGGATGCGCGCTACGCTGCAGGACCTCGAGGCGGCGCCCGTGGAGGACATTCTGGTGGCGCCGGCTAAAGTGTTCAAGAGGGATGTGAGGGAGATGTTTGCTCTTGTTGATGCTGTTGGGCCGCAGGTCAAGGGGGATGTTGCGAAGCTTGGGGGTGGCCAGGAGCAGGCGGCGGTAAAGGCGTAAGAGAAGGATTCGGAGAGAGAGAGAGAGGGTGGAGGGTAGTCGTATGGCAGCGGATCAGACATTCTGAACGATTCGTGGGTCGCCGTAGTGTATCGATTTTTGGGGAAGATGATGAGAATCATGTACAGCATTTGACGGACGTCGCAGACTGTAGAGCCTGGCATGGGGAAGGGAGATGCTGCAGGCCTTGTAATTTTGTACAATCACCAACGCATATTAAAGGTTCCCAGACAGAATGGAGGATCACGAATAAGAGTCCATCCAACTCAGCATTTCTTGTAATGTAGTCATCTTATCGCTCCTTCCTGTACTATGAGATGAGCAAAAGGGAAAAGAATATTCATGACCCAAAAATTACGAGATCAAATCTTCTCCCACATCTGGAACTCATACCTTGTCCCATTCTCCTCAATCTCACCCCCCTCAACCTCCTCCCCAACCCACTCGTCAAGCCCCTTCTTCTCAACCTGAGCCCATTCGCTCCCCTCGCCCTCGCCACCAAGTTTCAGCGGGAAAAACGCATCACACTCAAACTCCCCCATAACCCTCGTCAGCAGAACCCTCTTGGCCTCGGGCACCTCGAGCGCCGCGCCGTAGATCTGCGCGCCGCCAATGACAAACACCTTGCCCAGCTTGCCGGCCGCGGCTCCGCTGGCATCGGAGCGGAGGAACGCGAGGGCCTGGTCCAGCGAGGAGACCTTTACTGCGTCCTTTTCGAAATCCGTGACCGCCGCCGTGTCCGTACCTGCAGCCGAAGAAGAAGTGTCCAACGAAGCAGGGTGAGAGCGGCTGATGACGATGTTGAGGCGGCCTTTGAGAGGTCTGAAGCGGGGCGGGATGCTGTCCCACGTCTTGCGGCCCATGATTACGGCGTTGAGGGCGTCTGAGGGTGCCTAGAGCCCGATTGTCTTGTCAGCCATAGAACGGCACTTGTGCGCTGTGATGAGGTTCTCATGCGATATCATGTCGCAGTAGCCGCCAGTGAGACTAGGCTTCAAGAAAATGTTCAAGACTCCCATCTCATATGAAGCGAGTTCAGCAGGAGAAGGAAGATATGGCCTTCTACGTACCTGTGGAGAAAGCCTCTTCGTCACGCGCGCAAAGTAAGCCATCTCCTTCTTCAGTCCCGTCCACGGCAGGCCGCCCTTGGCGCCGATGCCCATGTTGCGCGTCGCCGCGACGATGAGCGTGAGTTCGTGGCTCATGATGGTTTTCTGGTGGATCTTCCTCCTTTTTAAGCGCTGTTCTGTGGTTCCCTGGACCTGGATAATTCGCCAAAGAATGAGGGTGTAAAGTATGGCCTCGAGGGTGATAAACTCTGCTTTGGCTATTCCCTTGTTTGAGTGTAAGTGTGAGGTGCGTGGTGCACTCCGAGTTTTGCGCTAGCTGAGTGACAATTGGTGCCGGCCGATTGGTGGGCTCGTGTGGAATGTCGAATCAAAGGTAAGAATGAAATCAATTCATGACTGACTAACGACCACATTTACAACGACCTGGGTCTTTTTCTAAAGTCTTTGAACATTGAGAACCCATTTCTATAACGGAACACATCTTCTTGAGCTGTGGATATGATGGTAGTCAGTTCCTTATACAAAACCTCTTTAGAACTACTCGCGGACCAGACTTGCAGCGTCAGATATGTCACATCATACACTGCACTTTCAGAGGCACATGGAAATTCTTACATCATCTCCCAATCCTGGTATATTCGCACTTGGTATAATATAAGTGACTTCCGAGTCACACTTGACCAGCCTAGCTATTGCTGGCCACAGAACCTGAACGCCGTCGACGTGTTGGTCGAGAAAGTCATCCTGAGAATAGAACTATCCTCCCGTCATTAAGTTTTCGTAAACCCCTTTCCTTTCATTCCCTGGTCCACCACACCCATTCATCTCAACTCCACTGAAGGAAAATACCGCGGTCCAGCGAATCCTTTGGCAAGGACCGCTTGTATATCGATATTGCTGCCAGCTGCACGACTGCTACTCCACATCTTCAAGAGTATGAACCTTCCAGCAACTGGCGGATCAAAGCGTATTGTGCATTTGCTCTTGTCCTTCTCAATAAAGAACTTGGCATGCGGCGCCATGAGACCACGTCCACCACTGACAGCCCGAACAGCCTCCTGCGTTGCCATTTGATTCGCCTCAACAGCCTCTGCCAGTGACATATCAGTAGGGTCACGGCGCCGGTTTGTGAAGGAATAATCTTCAAAGTCGGATGCAAATGGATTGCCGTCGTCGCTGCTGTCACTCTCAAACGGCAAGGACCCAATTCTATTGGGAGCAGTTCGATTCGCAGTGATTATAGGTGTATCATCATCGTCGGTCTCTTCGTAACTGCATTCGGTGGTGATGTTGAAGGGTGGCAAGTGTGTGGTGAATTCCGGCGGGATCTGTGCTGTCCGACTCTCATTTTCATCGTCATCGTGTCCCAGACTGTATAGCCGTCTCTGCCGAGTGTGCGTTCTCGTTACAGTCGTTCCGTCTTCGTGATGCCGTATTGAGATTATCGGGGCTAGTGCTCTGGTAGCCGTTGTGCGACCTGATCTTTGCGGAGCATATTGTATTTCGTATTCCGCCGTTCGTCTAAGAAGCTCATCCTGATTCATAGAGACAAAGATCATACCCTCCCGTACGCTACGTGTATCTGTTAGATACAGCTCCCAGAAAATAGGGGAAACTTGAGATACTTACGGTGAAGAGTAATTCGATGCCGGCGCCTTTATGACAAGCTCCTTCAAGCTGAAAGCCGTACCACCTTGGTGCCGCAGAATGATGTTGCAGCGATTAGACTGTGTGCAGTATACAGTCTTGTCGTCCTTGAGGATGTTTTCGTGGGCGTGAAGGGTGGCGTTCTCATACAGTCCCCCATCACAGCTCATGATTTCCATCTTTAGTTGACCTGACTCGACCTGGCCATACCGTCCATATCGAAACCCCGTGAAGCTCTGGGCAATTCGTTCAGAGTCCAGCTTTCTCCTCTTCACCCTCCGATTCTCCTCCGGGTATTCCTCTGACGGAGGTAGAGGCGAAAGATTTGGCGGGGATTGATTGGGAGGCATCCTGGGCGGCGAAAAGGGTGAGGAGCTGTACTGGGCTCTCCTA